TCGGCTTGTCATAGAGGGCTGCTGATATGCCTTTGGAGTCTTTTTGGTGGGGGATTTGGTCGGACCTTCGCATTATATTTAGCTTTGAACATTCTCTTTTTTCATTTATGGACAGCACAAAGTTTGAACACTCTGAACACAATTCGAACTTTGATGTTTTTATCAAAGAAAACCCTTTTATGGATAGGAGAGAAAAGAAGAATCAACCAAAGCCAAGCCCCTCTTTCTCTCTGTACATGTTCTGTTTTGTCTTGAAGCTTTTGGATGGAAATGGCATGGAAGATGAAAGTTGAGATATTAGATTGGATCTGTGGTTGTTGGGGGACTGAAATTTGAAAAGCAACATGTATCCTAAAGCTAGAGATAGAGGTCTTATTACCCCAAACAAAAAAATAAAACTCGCATGGATTTAAAACAAGCGTCATTTATTGAATTTACTGTATAATCTCATCAAATCACATTTTAATCCACATGTTAATATATGTAATTAAGTATAGAAAATAATTTGAGAAAATAACTCTTAAAATGATAATAAAAGATTTTTGATATATCTAGTTTAAAAGAATTTTTTTCTTATATTTATTTTTACAATCAAGTCTTAATAAAAGAAAATGGATTAAAATTTTTGAATTTTTTTTTTTGAAAAGTAGTTGTTCAACCATAGTAGTATAAAAGATTATCTAAAAAAAAAGATTAGATTAAATTATATTAAATTGTAAAATAAAATAATGATCATTAAATAGAAAAAACCTCAATTATCATAGTTTAATACAGTTCGGATTACATAATATTTTTTCCTCAAAACTGTAAAAATGCTGTAATTTATAAAATTAATTTTACATTGATGGCTCCCACCAAAAATTAAATAAAATAAATAAAGATTGACGGCTCAAAATAAGAAACCGAAAACCGTTCATACAAACCTAACCCTTTGGCCCAAAAAACAAAAAGCCCAACCCAAAGTCCCCAACGTTCTTCCTCTTCCCGCCGGCTACATCTCTGCCAGTGTAGTCTTGTACCGGCCTTCATCGGAATCACTTGCTACGCCCTCAGACCTTCAATTCGTTAAGCTGGACAAAGCGCTTTCAGACGAGGACTGTACCGATTAGAGAGTTGCTTTCTTCTTCTTGTACAGGGTTCGCTTCTAGGACGAGTGCAGCTCATTGACCGCCACAGACCGTCTTTCCGGCAACTGATAGTAAGGAACTTTCTTTTGATATTTTTGTTTATGGGTTTTATTTCTTGACAATTGGGTGTTGTTTAATTATGTATGGAAAATGCAATTTCTTTGTTTGAAAAAAAAAAAAATTATGGAGTCCTCTGTCCTCTGTTTCAAGTCTGAGCCTTTGCTCTCTTTGCTTCTTTGCTGCTACCCTTAGGTTCTTTGATTTATGTTTGTAGAGATAAGGATTTTGTCAAACTTAGTTATTGGTTTTTGAATTCTTGCTTTGCCTTCAATTTTTTGGTGTTTAGGAAATTGATACTTTTGGAAGAAAATGGATATTTTCAAAGTTAGTGGGAGTA